AATTTTTGTGAAATTATGTGGTGACGATAGGAAATTTTGTGATTATCACAAAATTTTGTGGCATTTGTGATATTTTGTGAAATGCCATAAATCATCGTCCCTAGTCGAGATTTACGAATTTTAGCTGGTGGTCGCGTTCATCTCTAATGGAGATTGACCTTCCACCCCAGTATAGCATTTACTTCCTTTTGAGTAGTCATTCCAGACGGGCTTTTAAGGCAGCTTTCCTCCTCCCCCCAGTAGTTGAAAATGACAATAATTAATTCGCATTTTCACAAGTTCCAACTTATTATTATGTAAGGCGTTTCAACATTCTCTGTATAGTGCTTTATAAAAAAACTTATAGTGTCTTTTTACTTAACTAATCCTTCCTGATTATTTAGCTTTTTAGGAGAAAATGGATCAACCTTCTTTAAAGAAGTTTTTAGATTTTTGATTTTCAGCTGGCGACATAGAAGAATGGATGTTGAGTATGCTCGTTATAAAAATGAGTTAAATACTATTAGCAGATATTATGCTAAAGCATCAGAATTGGGTCAGCAAATAATAAAATGGAAAAATGCTTTTTAAGGCAAGTTAATAATGTAAATGTTATAACTTTATTGGATTAGGAGCGCGAGTATACCAACTACCCTGCAATCTGTTATGGTTGCAGTGAAAAAGACTCACGTTTGTTGGTGAGTTTGCTTCACGAACTGTCTTGGACCCATTGATTCATTAAGTACACCAACTACCCTGCAATCTGTCATGGTTGTAGTAGGAAAGACTGTCATGTTTGTTGATGAGTTATACTTAATGGACTTTGGGAATCATGATGCTTGTTCGTGATGTCTCCTGTTCTTGTTTATATGTAATAAGAAAAATTCAAATGAAATTTCTGTTTTATCAACTTAAAGGATAGTAAACGATCATTAGTGATAAAAATTTTTGAAAGAAAAAATATTGAGGCAAAGAAAAAGTTGCAAGAAGAAGCAAAGGTTACTCTTTAAAATCTAAATTCTGATGA